ATACTACACCCTCCCTTCCTACAGATTATCACGCCCTCGTGGTTTTCCAAAAATTAGTGAAGAGTTACGAACACAGCGTCAACCGGAAGATGGCAAATTATATCGGAAATGATAACGTTTAGAGTAGACAGAAGAAATGAACTGATAACAAATCATAAAATAGAAGTAAAAGCACACCAGGTTCACACGATCTCACGGGGTCAACAGGGGAAAGAACTGTTCTCCAAATAGGACCTGAAAATCCACAGCACTCTTGCTGCACAACGCTGGCACAACCCGCCAGGAACATCGGAGTTCAAAAACCGAACTGAATACACTATAACTATAAGGGGCGTTGTCACACACATTGTCCCACATTAGCTGGGTAAGCCGTGGCTCACCATGATCAGACGCCTACCAAACTAAACTGGATTCACACACTCGCATAAAGGAAGACTGAAGAGAACAGGGAGACTGAAGGAAGACAGGAAAGAAAATGCCATACCTGGAATCAGCGTTAGTAACCACGGCGGCGGCTGGAGCTACGGCGGAGAGCAAGCCAGGTTTTATCTTCATCTTGGTTGAGCCGGTCACTCAGAGCGGCTAGCTCGGCGTCAGACAAATGACCTCCCTCCTCGTCTTGAATCGTGGTCTTCACATTGTCGATAGCATCGCTTTGCGCGACGTAAAGAGTGATGTTCTAGCCAGGAAGAGTGTTGACGAAAATCTACTTCCCACCACGGAGGCGAAGTACCTAGTGAAGAGTGGGCTCCTGCGTGCCGGCGAAAATCAAACGCTGCTGGTCTTGGGGAATACCCTCCCTTGATTCGTCGCAGGGAGCTGCAGCGGGTTGAGCCATGGGGGTCTGGGGTCGAATAACGTTGTTTTATTTAAAACTACACTGCTGCCACCAATGTAATGGGTAGCCGAGTGGTAGGCGCGGTGAAATTAACAAGAATTACTTTTATTCTACTTTCAGGTACACACCTGAGATATTATTATTAGTGAAAGAAGAAGCGGCAAAATAAATAACTTTCTCTCCGGTGCTCACCTAGAGGTTGAATCCTTCTTCTTCGAGTTAGCTTTCATTGCTATCTAATCTAATCTAATCTTCCTCAAAACAGAAATGCGCAGCCGCTTTTATGCAGCAGACGACGTACGCTTACATACGGAGATACACTAAATATACATCAGGCAAACTCCGTATTAGTTCCGTACTGCTTCCGTATTGGTCGGGCAGGGATACTACACAAGCAAGCCTTGCTCCACGTTCATGCTGTGCAGCTCATTGATACATGAACACATTTCAAAATGTATTCTCGCAAAAGGAACTTAAAGGGGAGGTGCAACGATTTTTCGAGTAGGGTCCAGAAGAAAGGCAATTTGATATCGGTTCGAATGGCATATCTCTCGCTTCCATACGATGAGCCCAACTTGCCAAATCGCCAATTGTATACTCACGTTGCCATAGCGACCAGCGCAGTGATGACGTATGAAAGGCTTAGCTCCTCCACAGAGAAGGTCGATCACTGCAGAAATTTGTCATTTTCAATTGTCTTATTGTATTCACGATGTGAAAGAAGTGCTGTGTTCAATGCTGTTAGTGCCGTGAACTATTTATCGCCCTTCTCATACATTTCCCTAGGCTGACTGTGCCTAGGAAATGGTTTCTTCCAGAACAAGATGCTTGGAATTCGCCATCTCTCCTGAGACATTTTCAGCAAACTTTCAAACCTACGACATTATTTCATTCGTCAATCTCCGCCACCCGTCGTCTCACCTGGCTTCAGAAGATGTTACGAGAGATAGGAGAGTCGCCAGGAAGTATCACATTCATCTTCAGGAAGTGGAAAGAGCGAACGGCATTGTCCTTGGTTGGGGGAAATGCTGAACGTCTGATTTGTCCCAACCAAGATTTCAGCATTTTGTTCATTCAGAGGATTTGGCAGTGGCTGAGGAGGTGAACAACTCGCCGCATGATGAAGTTGGGACCCAGCTGTCAAATCCGGTTTCCAATGAAATTCCTTTGCACAGGGTAAGTTTGCTTATAGTTTGTTGTGCTTTAAAAATTTCCCTTGCATATATTTGCCTGAAGGAAAATCATTGCGTAACGTTTTTACAAAGGCGACACTGAGACAATCATCTTTTAATAATGCAATGCTTAAAACCAAGATTACATAACTCCCCAGAGTGTGCAACTCACACATACCCTGCTGTCCCGACAGAATTTCAAGTTCACGTCATTATTTATGACGCAATGCTTCTTGCACCAGTGATTTACAACATGTGTACCGGTGTCAACGCATCACACGTTTTTCTTTGCAATAATTAATCGATCGGCTTCGGTCAACCACAGGTTCCGGATTCGTCTGATAATCTGTGTACATTGCGCATTGCATCAACAAAATGACGTTTTTTGTTCTTTTTTTACTACAAAGCACTGGCCAGCAACATAAAAGGGGAGGTAGACAAAAGTGGACAAGCGAACTTTGACAACACAGAGGAGCGTGGCATGCGTGCCGATGAGGTAGGTCAACCTCCCCCGACCTAGTGGTCTCGGGTTCAACAGTTGGTCTACGCATCAGGAAGGGGAAATGGACAGAGAAAGGGAGAATGAGCATGAGGAGCTTCCCAGGAGAAGAAGAGTGAGAGAGAGAGAGAGAGACAGACAGAAAATGATAATAATAGAGACAACCGGTTATTCTCAGTGCTGGGGGACTTCAGTGGCCCATAGCCAATTGGTCTGGCGGAGGTGATGGTAGGCCTTGGTCTTGAATGTCGGCAATTTCTTGAGAGTTGGGCGTTCGGCGAGGATTGGGGCAGGCAGTGTGTTCCAGCTCTCCAGGACAAAGTATGGGAAGGAGCGGCGGATGAACTCTGGACTGGAGGCTGGCAGAGGAGTTGCGAATTGGAAAGAGTGGCCTCCGAGGGACTGGCGTTGCCGGCGCGTCCGGGGTGCAGCGTTAACTCTTACTGGGGGAGGTACCATGTTGGTAAGCAGAGCTGGACCTGGTATGCATTGCAGCTTATACAGGTAGCACAGCCCGTAAACATGCCTTCGGATTGCCAGGCTGGGGAGCAATGAGGGGCCAATAACCTTCATGGCTCGACGCTGGACCAGGTCCAGCTGATGGAGGTGACAATGTGCCGCACTTGCCCAGACGAGAGGGGCGTACTCCATTATAGGCCGTACAAATCCTTTGTACACAGTTAGGCGCCCTGCACTGTCCAGGATCCGAGATGCCTTTCGGAGCAGGCCGAGTCGCTGGTTGGCTCTAACGGCAAGGGAACGGATGTGGGCCCGGAAGGAGAGAGTACTGTCAAATAACACTCCTAGCAGCTTGAGCTGAGGGCTCTCAGGCACCTGCATGCCATCAAATGTGAGCTGTGGGACATCCAGGGATGGTCTGTGGCGGTCAAGGAGTATTGCCTGAGATTTTGATGGCTCGAACTTTATCTTCCATTGGGCACCCCAAGTCTGCAGGCGGTCAATAGATGCTTGGAGGCTATTGCAAGCAGCAGCGATGGTATCTGGGTTTCTGATTAGGGCATAGAGTGTTGTATCGTCCGCATAGACAGCTAGACTGGAGCCTGGGGTTAAACACTGTTCTGCATCGTTTACATATAACAGGAAAAGAGTGGGACCTAGGAGGCTACCCTGGGGCACTCCAGCCTTGATCGGGAACAGTGGGGAGGACTGACCGCCAACAACTACAGTCAGTTTTCGGTCATGGAGATACGACCTTAGCCAAGCCAGGAGTTGGCCGTGGATGCCACATTGCTGTGCCTTCGCAAGGACACCTGGGTGGGAAACCTTGTCGAATGCCCCGGCAATATCAACTGCCAGGGCATGCACAAGACCGCCGCCAGCCAGGGTAGTGGCCCAGGAATGCTGGAGAGCCGTCAGTAGGTCACTTGTGCCCAGTCCACGTCGGAAGCCAAACTGGGACGAGGAAAAAAGTTGATGGGTTTCCAGGTGGTTCACAAGCTGCCGATTGATGATACCTTCCATGATCTTAGAGATGATCGTCAGGAGAGATATAGGTCGGTAGTTCTTCATCATGGATTTGGGTCCTTTCTTGTGCACTGGAACGACACGTCAACTTGAAATTCTGTCGGGACAGCACCCATTGTGGAGTTGCACACTCTGGGGGGTTATGTACTCTTGTTAAAACTATAGGCACACTCATATCCCAATGCTAGCAATGAATAATGTTTCCATGCTATGATTGTTAAATATGTACTCAGATGGTGAGCAAAAGACCATATGAAATTTGAAATAATTCATATTAAGCCCCACCGTTTTCCTTGTTTCCATTTTCTATTTGAAAGAATTTTTTTCTTTTGTGGCTACTTTCCTTCTGTGCAGACACAACAGCAACAATGCCGGCTCGATGCAAGGCAAGCACGAAACATGCTCAAAGTCCTCCAAGCGCAGACCTTCGTCAGTACAGAATCAAGTGCTGTACGCGATCTCAAAACTCAACTGGAGAAGCTGTCAGAAGAGTTTGCAAAAAGTCTGCCCACTGATGAATCTGGCTTGGTTATCCAAGAGGGTATGTAAAGTGTCGTTAATCATGACTAAAAATTTGTCGATTCCGCAGACATGGACCTTGTGTGTTCTGGTGAGCTGGTTTAATATTGCTTTGTTGTTCGCTAGACTTTGATGTGATAGGTCTGGCCAGTCATTCGAGTTCCGCTAATGCCACCTAACATCTCAAAATAGCTAGCAGTCCAGAGCCGATTGAGTAATGTTTGTGCTATTCTGTATGATTTCCTGCACAGCGTCTTCACACACCTTGAACCAACAGTTCAGTGCCAGGCGCCGGCTGCACGAAACGTATAGCACTGCTGTCCCTGATCCAGCCTTCCAGTCAGGGCATGCCAAGCGTGGTCGACCTGCAGTCGAAAGACACCTCAGGTGTCGTGTCGGAGTTTCCGGAGAGACTGAGCGGAGGCAATTCCTACAAGCTTAACAGCGTGAGCAAGGTGTGTGTGTGCGGTAGGCTTTACTATCCCCAGTTAATTACTTTGCTTTGCCTCCCCACTTAATTACATTTCCTTGCAAGTTCTACGTCACAAACGATCGTGTAGTGTAATAGTGGGAACAGAACGTTTGTGCAATGTTCCTCTCCTATTTTAATTTACGCGTTACTTTACTTGCCACTTTGACTCATGTAACATTTTTACAGCGTCAACAAGACCAGGTTCCGTCACATTGACAGCACTACCCGGAAGCAGTTCAGTACAACAGGTTGCAGCTCCCGAACGTAAGTGGTGATGTCTTCAGTGCGCATCTCTACACTATACAGCAGACTAGCAGTCGCTTCTTCTGCATGACGTAGCAACTTCTGCTTTAGCGCTAAGGAACAAACAGCCAAACCAATAAATAATTGTTAACGGTAAAGATTGCCGGACCCTGGCTCCGCCATACATGTTGCATAATTGCCTGATGCCATGTGCCGTTGGCAAAGCCTGGGAATTAGCCATCGTCCTAAGCATTGTTTTATAGTTCACGTGTTGGTATGTTTGTTTGTGTGTCAATCTGATATAGCTGCTATCACTGTACGTCATTCCGCAACATCTACCTTGGCCCCTGCACTCGTGTGCACAACAAATCGGGAACAACAAACAGAACTGTTTTGCAGAGGTATGTTGGGAACATTCGCCCGCAGGACTATGTCCTATTTTCTGCATTGGTTTTAATAGTTGGTTGGTCTCAATGTTTGACTTCGTGCTTTTCCTTCCTATTCTGGTGTGGCACATGTATGTTTGTGCGTGTGTTTGTGTGTGTGTGTCTTTCCGCGTGCCTATCTATTGCAGGTGCCCGTGCATCTCAATCTACTGCAGCCACATCGTCTACAATGTCTGTACCAGTCATGTCTGTACCAGATGAGCCACAGCAAAGGGCAAGATGTCATACACGTACGAGTTTGCTGGTATTAGTTTGTAGCATTGTGATAGATGACAAATTCATTTTTCTGTGGTAGAAATGATGTGCTTGGTCGTATTTGTAAGGATTTAAAGTTTAAACCATGAGAGCAAAATCATGATTACTGCTAATGTGTATGTGTGTGGGTGGGTGTATGTGCGCGTGTTCGTGTGTCAACATATTACAGCTGCGCGTTTACTTCCCTCTGCATGAGCCACGTTGTATCCAATGTCTGCTACGTCTGTACCAGTATGCACAACAGATGAGCTACAGGAAAGGGCAAGATGCAATACAGGTATGCTGGTTTTCGCTTGCATTATCCGATAAATTTCCCTATTCCAGTTTTAAATCGAGGTGACAAGAGTTCTCCATCTTTCGGTTCTTAATTAATACAATAAAGCATTCAGGTTTGTTCTGGTCTTATTGCGTGTAAAAAGGGTTTCAGAGCAGACTCGCTCTCCTCCCATTCACTCTGCAAACGTTAAACTCGAACTCCTTTGATCAATGTTTTGCAACGTTTCGGCAAAATTGCCCTCATCAGGTATACAATGATGTGCAGGTCTGAAAGGGAGCAATTATATACATGTACATGCAATTTGTGATGTTATGAAGTATGATATGCTACATCTCACCCACCGTGACGTTCCAGAATCATAAAGATATTGATACGTCAAAGAAGTATGCTACCAACAACAATTATTAAAAGAAGACAATGCCGTGATAAATTCACGAAAAGCGATGTTGGAGGCTGATACGGAGTGCAGTGAGACTGAGCATCAAACGGATGATGAGGAAGTGACTGATGATGATGATGGTGGTGATGAGAACGATGATGATGAAGATGAGACGGAGGACGAGGATAAGGCGGAGGAGGTTGAAGGAAAGGAGCAGGATGAAACGGAAGAGAGCGAAGTGAGCAAAAAGTCAGCTGTATTTTGTCACTTGTTATCACGTCCAGATTGTCTTAGTGTGTACGATGATTCTCACTTTTCTGTTTTGTGCCGTGCAAGTTATGTAAAGCAGTTGAAGGTTCTGGAAGCTGTATGTATTCGTGTGCATAATCCTGTTCTTTGTAAACCAAGAAGCATGTAGTCGCGCTTAAGTTGTTCTCGTTGCTTGTTATCAGATGTAAATGTTGTGTCATGTTGCACTGTATCACCTCATGCTTTGTGCATTATTTTAGCACTATGGTTGACACCTATTATGTAATGCTGTATCACTTCCTTTTTTTCGTTCACACTTTTAATTATGCTGTTATAAAATGCTCTATTTTTTGTACACAGTACCCGCAGTTCCGATACTATTCACTGATGAGCGGAACACGAACATCGATTTTGAATAACATAAAAATCCTTAAAAATTCCATGAACTCGTTGTTGTCTGGCCATGTCTGCATCGATTATACTCTTAATTGCACTAATAAAATTGCTTTCTCCACGCCGACTCTTTATTTTATTTATTTTATTCCAAGCACTACATGGCTGGGGTAGCCAATGACCACTGTGCGTGGCGATTGCAGGGTTTTTATAGCCAACCATGGCTAACATGGAAAAGAGTAAGCAGTCAAAAAGAAAAGGAAAAGCAGAAAGAAGCAAATATGGACTAATATTGTGATCTTTGTGTGCTTGATGGAACTATAGGTTTTCCCTAGAGGGAGAATATTTCTCTGTGATTTCCACAGAGAGCAGGCGTGGCAGCGCGGGACCAAAGATCGTTCCCATGGCTTAAGTGATGATGAGGCCGCAACACTGCTAGAAAGCTTGCGCCAATTGGCTTATTCTTCACTGTGTCGAGAGGCGGGACAATCTCCAGACAGGAATGAGATTGAACATCTTCAAACTTTGCCTTTGTAGAATTTTTCGTCAATTTTAGATTTTCCCTGATGTTGCAAGTGCTTTGTGGTACTGTGGTATGTGTGTATAATACCATGGATTTGTTCCTGTGTTTCAGACACTACCGTGAAGCGGAATCAAAGCTGCGTAGCCTTGATGTGTGGTGCGCCAATAAGCATGTGCGAAATTTGCTGAATGCCAAATGGCAATCAATCCCAGAGGTACTATTTGGGTTTGATTACTAGAGTTGGATGGCTCAGAGGGCAGAATGTTATTGGCAGTTCCTGAGAGTGTTCAGTATTGTGTTCTATTTCATACAGCGGTGGTCCAGGGCATGGACAGAGCGTGAATGCCACCACAACGTGTTTTCGAACAATGGAATCGAGGCTCAAAGCAAGGTTCGCATATTTAGCATAGCGGATTAAGCTGAACTGTACACATACACATGAGCCTATGTTTTGTCTTGTTACATCCGAGATCATCAGTGACTATGTCACCGAGTGTTCATCTGAGATCATCAGTGACTATGTCACCGAGTGTTCATCTGAGATCATCAGTGACTATGTCACCGAGTGTTCATCTGAGATCATCAGTGACTATGTCACCGAGTGTTCATCTGAGATCATCAGTGACTATGTCACCGAGTGTTCATCTGAGATCATCAGTGACTATGTCACCGAGTGTTCATCTGAGATCATCAGTGACTATGTCACCGAGTGTTCATCTGAGATCATCAGTGACTATGTCACCGACTGTTCATCTGAGATCATCAGTGACTATGTCACCGAGTGTTCATCTGAGATCATCAGTGACTATGTCACCGAGTGTTCTTTCTTACAAGAACATGTTAGCCAATTACCGGTATTCGTGTCAATACGTTCTCTTTTCTCATGATTATAATATCTATTCTTATCTGATTGTCTTCTTTGAAAGATCCTGAAATATGCCTTTCTGAAAACTATAACTAACAACGGCAAGAAAAGGACGCTTAGTGAAACCTTCACCATTATTGTTGAGCAGTTCCTACCTGAACAGCGAGATAAGTACCTGAAGAAGGTAAACGTCTTCACTTTTATGACCATATCCACGTTTCACGTCACTAGCATCTAAATTATACACCCCACTGAACGGGCAACTGCACTGTTTGGACACCCAAAGTACAGTACATGTACTGTGTCTGTTTTACCTCCGTACCTGAACTCTTAATGAATTGCGTTGTATTTCTTCAGATACAACGACTACGTACCAGTAAAGCTACGCGACCGGCCTGCCCAGGAATGTCATCCTGCACTGCATGGAACGCAAGCAGTCGTCTCAGGAGTTCTTGCCACGTAGGTAATTCCTTGTTGAGTGCACACAACAACGTGGCAACGAGAGGCTGTTTTCGCTCAAATTTTATTATTACAATGCTTCACGCTCTGACCGATTGTCGGCCTCATGTTCATTGTACCTAGTAGCCTTCGGGTTTAAACGATTCATAGTCTGTACTGCATGTGCATCTCCTTGATCTCACAGTTGCAACAAGCAAGCCTTGCTCCACGTTCATGCTGTGCAGCTCATTGATACATGAACACATTTCAAAATGTATTCTCGCAAAAGGAACTTAAAGGGGAGGTGCAACGATTTTTTCGAGTAGGGTCCAGAAGAAAGACAATTTCATATCAGTTCGAATGGCATATCTCTCGCTTCCATACGATAAGCCAAACTTGCCAAATCGCCAGATGTATACTCACGTTGCCATAGCGACCAGCGCAGTGATGACGTATGAAAGGCTTAGCTCCTCCACAGAGAAGGTCGATCACTGCAGAAATTTGTCATTTTCAATTGTCTTATTGTATTCACGATGTGAAAGAAGTGCTGTGTTCAATGCTGTTAGTGCCGTGAACTATTTATCGCCCTTCTCATGCATTTCCCTAGGCTGACTGTGCCTAGGAAATGGTTTCTTCCAGGACAAGATGCTTGGAATTCGCCATCTCTCCTGAGACATTTTCAGCAAACTTTCAAACCTACGACATTATTTCATTCGTCAATCTCCGCCACCCGTCGTCTCACCTGGCTTCAGAAGATGTTACGAGAGATAGGAGAGTCGCCAGGAAGCATCACATTCATCTTCAGGAAGTGGAAAGAGCAAACGGCATTGTCCTTGGTTGGGGGGAAATGCTGAACGTCTGATTTGTCCCAACCAAGATTTCAGCATTTTGTTCGTCACTATTTTCGCTTGTCTGCTGGTGTCTCCGCACTCCAGCTTTCTCCTGTCGGTGTCACGTCCCAGTGCACAACCGAGTTGACTACTATCAAACAGTTCACTGCACTAACAGCATTGAACACAGCCCTTCTTTCACTTCATGAATACAATAAACTAATTGAAAATGACCAAATTCTGCAGTGATCGACCTTCTCTGTGGTGGAGCTAAGCCTTTCGTACATCATCACTGCGCTAGTCGCTATGGCAACGTGAGTATACAATTGGCGATTTGGCAAGTTTAGCTTATCGTATGAAAGCGAGAGATATGCCGTTCGAACCGATATCAAATTTTCTTTCTTCTGGACCACACTCGAAAAATCGATGCACTTCCCCTTTAAGAGAGTCCATCAGTTTTGAGTAGTAGTAGTAGTAGTATTCTTTTATTTTCCATCGGAAGCCTCAACAGTGATGAACACAACTCTTAAGAGGGCCGATAACAGGGTAGAGGGGTGTGGGGTGAGAAAAAAAAAAATAATAATAATAATAATAATAAGAGATATTTAAACTAAACTAAACTGATACTTGGAACAATAAAGCAGCAGTAAGCAGTAAGCAGTAAACATAGGTATACAATACAAGCGATGCAGATCAATGAGGCCGTTTGCTGAAAAGAAGATCTAAATACTTCTGAAAAGACGCTGCGTCTTTAAGCATGGTCATAATGGGATAGTGCAAGAATTAAAGAGATGTTTATAAAACGAATTTAAACTAGGAACGCAGTAAACACAGTTATACAATACAGGCGGTGCAGATCAATGAGGGAGTTTGCTGAAAAGAAGATCAAAATACTTCTGAAAAGACGCTGCGTCTTTTAGCATGGTCTGAAGGTGCTTAGCAAATGTTGTGCGGTGCTGGGTGCGCCACTCCACAGGCAAAGAATTAAAGAACAGGGCAGCACGATTTGAAAAGGAATTGACACCGTCAGTCGTCCGGAATTTAGATATTGCAATAGCAGCATTAAAAGAGCTTCTTGTTGTCCTAGGGCCGGTTGAAACTTGAGGGAAAAGGTCCGTCAGATTTGGGAGAGGGAAAACGACATGATTAACATGGATAAATTTAGCAATGCTACGAATAAGGTAATGTTCAAACGGATCAATCGACAATCTAGCTAACAGCGGCATGACGTCCTCTTGTAGTTTCGAGCCACAAGCAGCGCGTACAGAACGACGATAAACGGACGAGAGTCGCTGTCGGTCCTTGGCGGATAGCTTCATTGCAAAGCAAG